CCGACGATAATATGACACAATTCCCCCAACCAGACATTTAGAGAACACAGCAGTAATTTTAGAAAAACTAAATATTTTTTGATAGAATATTTGTGTTGTTAACGTGTTGTTGACGTGTGAAAAGTCATGTGTTTTTGAACAGTTTGGCCACTTGTACAGTTTGAACAGGTAAGTTTCATAAGTTCCCATGGTTTGCTGAACACAAGGGTTAAACCATTTCTGTAAGCATAGGGGTTGCCTACCACAAGTGATTAATGGATTAAGGATCCTCTTATTTCTTTGTCCCTTTCTTCTTTTTCATTGTAGCCTATACAAATAAAATATTGAAATTGCAGATTTATTACTTACCGGTACATTTTTTTTAGATTATTTGGTATACAAACATAGCTTTAACACCATTAATCAAACTTTAGTTTTATATCATTAAAACTTGACCTTCTTTTAGAATTGTAATTTAATTTAGGGCTATGACCAGCAGAGGGCATACTGCTATGATATGATACATTTTATACTTAATTGTCATTGTCGTCACAGTACAAGGACAATAAAAGGCAGTTTAGTACCTCACGAGGAGTGCATTAATGAAGTTTTTACATATGTTCATAAGTATTTACAATAGAACAGAAGTTTGAACATGTTATGTACAGGGTAGATACATAACATGGCAGGTAGGTAGCTACAGTATGGCTGTTGTCTGTTTGAGTGAATAGTACAGTAAGTAGGGTAGGGTAAAAGCTAAAGGGACTATGAACATGTTAAATATATAAGGAATATATATATATATATATATATATATATATATATATATATATATATATATATATATATATATATATATATATATATATATATATACAGACATTTGAAAAAAAATGTAATGAAAAAATGTATTACTTCAAAAATGTCGAAAACATGTTGACATCAAAAATGTCAATTAAATGTACTGAAAATGTTTACAGAAAAAATGTCGAAAATTTCAAGAAAATAATCTATTAAATGTCCAAAATATTCATGAAAAAAAATTGACTTAAAAAATGTCTACAATTTTCAGGAATAAAGTTTGACCACAAAAAATGTGAAAACATTTTAATGAAAAAGGTTTGACTTAAAAAAAAGTCAAACATTTTCATGAAAAAATGTTGACATCAAAAATGTCGAAAATTTACATTAAAACAATTTGACTTCAAAAATGTCGAAAATTTTCATTTAAAAAAATTGACTTCAAAATGTCGAAAAATTATCATGAAAAAAAATGTTAATGAAAAAAATTTAACTTAAAAAATGTCAAATTTTCATGAAAAAAGTTTGATTTCAAAAATGTCAATTAAAAAAAAAAAATGTTGACACATGTTGACACACATCCGGCGGGGGGGTGGCGGTCTTATTTGTCTCACCTGGAACTGTAGGGGCATCAATAATCCAGTTAAAACACAGTAAGGTACTTCATCATCGTATTTCTCCAAGAAACTCATCTTAAGGTATCACAACACTCAATTCTTAGGTGCAGGTGGGTGGGTCAGGTGTTCCATTCCTCATTTCAGAGTAGGGCAAGTGGTGTGGCTATTTTACTTCATAAATCAATACCCTTTACTTGCTCTAATGTTATTGCTGACCGTAATGGTAGGTACATTATTGTCAGTGGTACACTATTCTCCACTAAGATGTGGATGATGCGGAGAAATCGTTTGACCGGGTGGATTGGAGATATCTTTTTTACACCCTAAACAAATTTGGCTTGGGCCCCAAGTTTGTCAATTGGATAGAATTGGATGACAAAAATTTTGCCTCCAAAAAAATTAAATTCAAAAATGTTCAAAAAATGTTAATGAAAAAAACTTGACCACAAAAATTTGACTTAAAAAAATGTTGAACATTTTCGAGAAAAAAAATGACCACAAAAATGTCGAAAATTTTCATGACAAAAATTTGACTTCAAAAATGTCCAAAAAAATTGATGAAAAAGTGTTTACATCAAAAATATCAAAATTTTTCATAAAATAATATTACTTAAATGTCGAAGATTTTCAGTGGTAGTGGTAGAACATTGAAACTACAAATAAAAAGTACTACAAGAATCACAGCATGCCTTAATCAATCTCAACATAGGAGCATGTTCTGAATTTTCTTCAACTAAAAGCACAAAATTAGTGATTTTGTCTAGTTTGAAACAGACATGTTGCCTAATTTGTCTCAAACCCATAAAAATATAACATTATGAGATTATTTGGCTAACCAACTTGCGCTCTGCAGAGAATGCTTTTTAACAGAGCGTGCTGATTTGTTTGGTCCAGCTTGTTCTGTTTGGAGGTATCACTGCTTGATTATTTCCCCATGTAACCAGTGGCAGACATTTCTGCGTTGTCTTGTGTGAATTCTTAATGAAGCTGTGACACAGGGATTCTTATTGATCACCTTTTATCTGACAAAGGGAAGCAAAAAAATTGAGTTTTTGTGATCAAAAATACTTTGAGGAACTCCTGAACACATACAACACATTCTCTTGAGAGGAGGCAGAGTCTGAAGATCCAGGGGAAGCCTTATCAATAACCTTGGCAGAGGTCACTGAGGCAGTTAGAAAGCTCCTCAGTGGCAAGGCGCCAGGTGTGGATGAGATTCGCACTGAGATGCTGAAGGCTCTGGACATTGTTGGGCTGTCTTGGCTGACACGCCTTTTCAATGTCGCGTGGAAATCTGGGACAGTGCCTGTGGAGTGGCAGACCGGTGTGGTGGTTCCCATTTTCAAAAAGGGGGACCGGAGAGTGTGCTCCAATTATCGGGGTATCACACTTCTCAGCCTTACTCGAGCTTACTCTAGGGTGCTGGAAAGGAGGCTCGGGCCGATTGTCAAACCTTGGATACAGGAGGAACAATGTGGATTCCGTCCTGGCCGTGGGACAGTGGACCAGCTCTTTACCCTTGCAGGGCTTCTTGGGGGGGCATGGGAATTTGCTCATCCAGTCTACATGTGTTTTGTGGATTTGGAGAAGGCTTTTGACCATGCCCCTCGGGGGATCATGTGGGGGGCACTGCGGGAATATGTGGCCCCGGGGCTGTTGGTACAAGCCATCCGGTCCCTGTATGACCAAAGTGGGAGCTGTGTCCGCATCCTTGGCACAAAGTCAGATACGTTCCCAGTGCGTGTTGGCCTCCACCAGGGTTGCCCCTTGTCACCGGTCCTGTTTGTGATTTTCATGGACAGGATCTCAAGGAGCAGCCGGGGGGATGAGGGTTTCCAGTTCGGGGGCCTCAAAATCTCGTCTCTGCTTTTTGTAGACAATGTGGTTTTGTTGGCTTCCTCAAGCTGGGACCTCCAGCAGGCATTGGGGCGGTTTGCAGCCGAGTGTGAAGTGGCTGGGATGAGGGTTAGCACCTCCAAGTCCAAGGCCATGGTTCTCTGCCGGAAAAAGGTGGATTGCTCTCTCCGGGTGGGGAGTGAGTCCTCGCCCCAAGTGGAGGAGTTCAAGCGTGGAGCGTGAGATCGACAGATGTATTGGCGCGGCGTCAGCAGTAATGCAGGCGTTGTGCCGTACCGTTGTGGTGAAGAGGGAGCTGAGCCTGAAGGCAAAGCTCTCGATTTACCGGTCGATCTACGTTACAACCCTCACCTATGGTCATGAGCTATGGGTAGTGACCGAAAGAATAAGATCGCGGATACAAGCGGCTGAAATGAGCTTCCTCCGGAGGGCGGCTGGGCTCAGCCTTAGAGATAGGGTGAGGAGCTTGGACATTCATGGGGGAGCTCGGAGTAGAACCGCAACTCCTCCCCATCGAAAGGAGCCAGTTGAGGTGGTTTTTCAACCTCATCCTACTTCCATTTCCGTTGCTATGGAGCTCCTTTTCTTTGCTCTCGTTTTCATCATCAGGAGGTAAATATATTCATGTGGTTTTTAAAGAGGTGTGTTGTTACCATATTTGGTTTATTGGAGGCGTTTCTGAATGTAAAAGTTCCCAAACAAGCAAGAGCCTGCTGGTTAGGAACATGTGGGATTTATCAACACTAATTACATAGCAGTGTGCGTACGATCACTGTCTGCTTGTTTGATAAATACGGATTTCTTCCTACTTATACACATTCTAAATTTCATTTGTAAGACAGAATTTAGAACACTTTCTATGCACTGTTGATAAATGAGACCCCTGGTCAGGATGGTTAGTTGCTTTCACTCATGGGCAGCAAATCACCAAAACATTTTTTTGTTCTTGCATCACACTGTTTGATTGTAAGGTGACTACACAGCAAAAATGTAGTTCGGCACATGAAGTTTTAGTTTGTACACAATAAAAAATGTAGAAAATGACAATAATATTATGGAGTTTGTCAAGGTGAGCTTATTTTGCATTAAGTCCATAAAATACACACAAATCATTGGTCACAGCTGTCATCAGCTGTCATGTTACACCTGACTTCTGCAACACACCTACCTCGCAAGATCCGCAAATGCATACACACATCCTCAAATGTGTGAGTGTATGGCTGCAGACTATAGCCTCTTGTTTTATGCCCTCTCACCTGGTGCCCTGAGGCCACACCCCCTAGAGCTTTGTGACCTTCTGATTATCAAAATATAATTGTATTTATTTTATTATTTATTTTGATTTGAGGATCTTTTTACACATTTGTGGATGTGTGTGCATTCATGGATCTATTCATTCATTTGTGGATCTGTGTAAGCATTTTCAAATACTTTTGCTACAGTAATAGCTCAATAGACATCCAAAAAGGCAGAGGGATCCAAAATATAATTCTGAGGGCTAGTTCAAAATACATAAACGGCTAGTTCTAAAAGCTTACAAGAAACACTACAAATATTGCTGTTATGATGACACAAGATGCAAGATGAACCGACACGAGGCATGAGGCACGAGACACAAAATGTTCTTTCCCCTGCAGCGTCATTTTTTGCCTTTATAGGTCATAAAGAGGCGTCAGTATTCATTTATTTTTCATAACCAGCCATAAACTCCTCACTTGAGCTATAATCACATATGTTGGTTAAAAGTCAGGAGTCACAGAGCTTATTGGCTTGGTGAAAAAAATAATGCTTCAGCTGGACTTTAAAATAATGAGGAAGCAGGCATGTTCCAAGAACACAGACATGGGGAAAGACAAAGAGGAAACTTGTACTTTCTTTGGAGGAAACAGAATTGATATCAACAACTATGGAGTGCTGACCCACATATAAACTGTAGCTAAACTTTGCATTTTTACACAGGAAGAGGACTATGGTGTTAATCTAAGTTCCTACAGAGCAGATGGGGGGTAAGGGGAGGTTTCACAAGAAGTTTTAAAAATTTCCACCCTTCCTCCACTTCTCTAGTTTCATGCTTACATGAGTGAAACCACAACAAGCTAGGTTTCTTTCCCATATAGCACGTTATCATAACTTGAGTCTGCGAAGAGAGACCAATAATCAGTACGTTCTGAATGACATAAGGAAGACTGTTGGATCATTTTGAAAGAATGAAAGTCACTAAAAGGGAAGATAAACACTGGACAGGTAAGTTCTTTTTTAAACTTATTTCAATTTGTTTTCACAATTTTCTGGTTGTTTGTCAAACTTCTTTCAGTGTAATGAATGAGTAACTGTTTGAGAGAAAATAATGCTCAAGCAGGGAGGTGGATGATGAAGGTGATAACGTGTGTTCTGGCTTTTCATGATGATGGATAAGAAGTTATTTCAGGGTTTTACAAAGAAGATAACAATGATAATAAGACAGTTATGAAACAACAAGTTTTTGTTGATAAATTTTGGATTTCAACATTTCGACACACTTCCGAGTAGAATAACGTTTGAAAAGACAATGTGAACTATAGTTCCTTTTGCTAACCTTTTTTAGAACTTTCCGTGACTGCTAGCACTTAAACCATATGCTCATCAAATATGTCAATGGCTGAGAGCCTTTGGTAAATTAAAAGGTATCAGAAATTATTTTCAAATATGTAAAAGTGGAAACAAGCTGATATTTATTTATTTTTAGTCTGAGACTGTTTTAAATCAAGAGTCACATAACAATTAAAACAACCAACTGTATGTTGCAAAAACACTAATGAGGGTAGTTTGGTATTAAAATGCTCTCATTTATGTAAGAGGTTTTTCATAACATCAACAAATAACGTTTTCTGTACTATCACTCTATGCCTGTCTTACACTTTAAATGTTTGTATTGGAAGTTTTGGATGATATAGGAAGTGAAAGATGTACGGTATGTGTAGGTTGGTATGTGGGAAGGTGAGAGAAGGGGAAAGAGCAAAAACACAAGTGACCAGACAGTGTGGGGGAGTGAGGACCAAGAGAGAAAGACACAAACATGGATAACAGGGTGTTTAATTGGTAGAGAGAAATGTTTGCTCCAAATTTCAAAGAAATCAATCCAAAAGAGTTCCAAACATTTCCCTTTAAAAAAGCTAACATTTTTGCTGGGTTTACGATAGGGCCCCAAGTCAGCTGGTCAGTCTGTCGTGTTACATTGGGTATTACTACTTACTTCTAGTCTCTCTCACCAGCTTAATTTTAAAACCAAACCCATCTATGGGATTTATTGGAGCTGATACGACAAATCAGAAAATGCATCAAACCTGCCACCACAAGGGTCAATACTACTGCATAATGTGTGTACGTGAAAGAAAGGCACATCAAACTTGTTGAATGGTTAAGGTTTTTTTTGTTCTTCGTATTATAACGCTTTCTGAGAAGTGGAGGATGTGTTTTTCCTGTCAGTTGTGTGTCTGTGTAGTTTGTGGTTGATTTTTTTCAAGAATGAGGCAGGAAAAGGAAAGAGAGTGACGGGGAAAGAGAGAGAGAGAGAGTTGAAAGTCGCAGAGGGTTTGGGGGAAACCCAAAATGTCAGAAGTCGACACATAAATGGAAACCTAAGAGCGGTTAAACAGAGAGAGAGATTTGGGGTTGATATTGGCTTACAAAGTCAGACTCTATTTGGTAATGTGATTCAAAGTTCTGCTTAACCCTCACTATCGTCACTCAATCTTTGAGGCTGGGAAATGCTTGATAAAAACTAACCTTTCAATTGGGAAAGTTTGTAGACTGAACAGCATGAATTTGAATGGTGTCATTAATCTCATGACATCAGACGTGAGTTGACTGAACAAGAGAGAACTTACAACAGATACACTGGACTTGGGTCAATGACTGTTTTTCACTGGATATGGTAGTCACAGAAGGAGATTACCCTGACTGAATTAATTTCAGATTAAGTTTCACTTCTATATGACTCAAGTTCCAATAAACTTCAGAAGTACTCCTCAAAGAAAACAAGATGATGAATATCTCTTTTAAGGCCCAACAACTTATTTTCTTCAACTTTTCTTTATGTCAATGAGAAACCGAATCACTTATTTTTTGTGTCCTCATATCAATGTATCATATCATCTCCATTTTCACAACCATTTAATGGAACATGTGTAAAATAAGTATATTCACTCTTTTCTCACATTTGTTAGATGACTAGCACTGTTTTGAGACCACGATAGGATAGGATAGGCACTTTATTGTTATTGTAAAATAAAACACAACAACATTTTGTTTGCAGTAGTCCAGTACAGCAGCCTTATAAAATCTGGTCAAATATGAAAATACACTCGTCCGCCTCTCTATTAGGTACACCTTACTAGTACCGGATTGGACTCCCTTTTGCCTTCAGAACTGGCTCAATTCTTCATGGCATAGATTCAACAAGGTGCTGGAAACTTTCCTCAGAGATGTTGGTCCATATTAACAGGATAGCGTCACACAGTTGCTGCCGAGTTGTCGGCTGCATATCCATGGGACGAGTCACCCGTCCCACCACATCCCAAAGGAGCTCTATTGGATTGAGATCTGATGACTGTGGAGGCCATTCTTGGCCCAGAGAACGGCCACTCTCTGGATATTTGCGCCTTTTCTGACAATGCTTTATAAACCCTTGAGTTGCTTGCGTGTGAAAATCCTAGTAGATTAGCAGTTGCTGAAATACTCAGACCAGCCCATCTGGCACCAACAACCATGCCACGTTCAAAGTCACTTTAATCACTTACTCCCATTCATGTTTGGAGAACTCACATGAGCCGTGCAGAGGTTTTCATGAGCGTGTCATTTTGCGACTATAGTTTTATTCAGGTAGCCCTCGATTTGGGAGAAAATGCGTATTACTTAGTGACCAAATAACAGCAGAACATAAATTGGATAACTAACAGTTTTGGCCGCAGCTTTTGTCCTCCTTATTCAGAACAGGACAAACCTATTTTGTTTGTTTTCATAATGAAGAAGCAACTTAACCTCCATACAGAATATGAAACTTCCTAGAAGTTTCTTGAAGTCATCTAGAGTATCTTGTGTCCTTGAGGGATCTACTATGAAGACTTGAATATTGACATGACTATTTAAGAAAAATACAAACTACTACAACTAACACATTTTGGTTGATACTGTTTCAACCTTTTGGTCCTTTATAAGCAAGAGTTGCGCTATAGTGACCTGAATTTCATGCAGTGGTACACTTTACTTGCCTTTTGTCAGCATTTTTTTTCTTTTACTAGTGATTTTTTGTTTGCGATTTAGAAAAAATAAAAAAGGGACATGTTTAATAATTCAACTTAATGATTACTTACACAACTGCTTGCTTTCTATATGGCATATAGTTTCTGGACTCAATGATGACTATGATTTCTGAGAAAATAGTCAGATAGCTACTGTTTTAGGAGAGGGAAGTTGTTTTTTACAGGAAGTGCACCTGTCAGAATAAAGGAACAAATAGATTCTCAGAAATAACAACTCTGACCTTTAAACAATAAACCACAGAAACAGGTGACCCGGCTACAGCAAGAACCTGTGAATTCCCCTGAACACGGAAATGGAAAAATAAATATTGTCTGCACAGAAATTCAAATTGTACATTATAAGTTTGGTGTGAACCAATTTTACACTGTTATTGATATTCTGCAGACTGACACACACCCTGTTTAAATGTGATCTGGTTAAAGTAAATAGCAGAACTCTTCATATAAATCTGGAATCTGCCACAAAGGGGAAATGTGGGAAAAAGAGAATAGGCATTATTTGAGATATATACCACTATACTCTGCTTGTTAATATGTATAACATTATAGAGTAGATGACAGCCTGCAGGGAAGTACAAGAGATTGAACAATAACAACAAATTATAGAATGAATAGTTAAATAACCAGTATCAGAGTGTTGGATTTGTTTAGATTTTTCTTTTTAAATCCTGTAACAGCTTTTACTGATCTATTAGGTCTACAAAAAGTATCGCCATTACAATAGGTACATTTTTTGTTTAGTAAACTACAAAAGGAAACATCCCTTAAAGTGGCCCCATTCGCAAAATAAAACACACACACACACACACACACACACACACACACACACACACACACACACACACACACACACACACACAGACACTCTCAAACTTGGAAGTGAGGTTGTATTCAGACTAAGTGACGCTGGATGTTGATTTTAGATTAAATCTCTTAGATATACGTCACAAAGTGCAATCTCACATCGTTCCTCTCTTTGAGGTTGATGGTTTGCTGCTCTCTCTATGATGACGACATTTATTTTCTGATGTTCTTTTTTAAGGATTCAAGATTATGTGAACTCCGCTCTACATCCTGGGCAGCTGACCTAACAGGTAAGACATTAATTTCTAAGGTGTGTTCAGTGTTGGGTAGTTACTGAAAATGACTAACTAGTTACAGTTACTACAATAAAAAGTAACAGAGTTACTGCTTTATAAAAGTAACTAGTTACTGGGGAAAGTAACTTGAGCGTTACTTTTTTGCTTCAATCCTCACATTAATGTTCAGATTATTTAGTGTTGCTGTGGCAGAACGGTGCTGTGACAGGTATTTTACCGATTACACAACATGGAGCAGGCGGTGTTTTAAATCAAGCCAGCTGTTTGTATGGAGTGTTTCAACCTTGGTCTGTCAACACACTACAACTCGCAGCTGTATTCTTGTCATTTAATGCGAGCAGGGAAAATAATGTCGGTATTTCAGAGACAGAAAGCTAACCTAATGACCCCCCCCCCCCCCCCACTGCCTGTGTTTACTACGCTCAACGTTCTTTCTCCCAGGATGCTGCTCTGTTATTGGCTATCTCACAATAACGAGTGCTTTTTAATGTCAGTAACTGTAACAGCGTTATTCAAATAAGGAAAGCAACTAATTCCTTACTAGTTACCGCAAATAGTAGTGGCGTTACAGTAACTCTGGATGGTACTTTGGACTCTGACGGTATCTTTCATCTTCAGAGAATGAGGAGAAGACGGAAGCAGTCAGTTTGAACCTGAACCAAGACCTATTCACCGACACCTATCATATCCTGAGTAATCAAGCTTTGGAAACCATTAAAGAGGAGATTGACGATCAGCTAAATGGAGAGAAAGAAGGACGCCACTCTGTTTTTTCTTCTTCTTGCCTTGTGTCATGTCTGCGCCATCAAAGGGCAGAATTGTTCCAATCATAAAAGTAAGTGAAGTTTCAATATCTTATTTATTTTATCATCTTGCATAATAGGTTTCATCCATTCTATATCATCTTCTCTCCTTTATTTCTTACAGATCTCTCCTGCTACACTGACTACAATCGTACCATCACTTGTGAGTGGAACAGCACACTTGAGTGTGACACTGTGTGCAACATAACAGCCAAAAAGATGACTAAGTATATATCGCGGACAGGAAAATCTAATGTGAACATGTAAGTGTAAGTTAGTGCAAGTGCTTAATTGAAACAGGGCTTAAAAAAATAATACCAGATTTATTTAACAATCGTGCAAAAAAAGGGTTCAAATTTAAATGAATAAATCATGTGTTATAAATGCAGCAACCCATTTGTCACAGACAAAACGTTCTAATACAGTACAAAATGCTTTAAATGATTACACACTGTTGATATATAATGCAACATTGAACCAAAGTAAAGATTAACATATAGAGCATTGCTTCATTTAAAAAAAGAGAAAGGGCCAAGTAGTGCCCTCTCAATCACTTGATAAAGACCAATGGGTTGAAATGATGTGATTTAATCAACATATTGATTATAGTATTATCACCCTGTTTGCTGCTTACACATGATGATGTTATATGCAAAAATAAAAAATAACCTTAGTGGTTCAGCCTGTAAAATTGTCACTGATATACTGGTACATTCAGCTTTTTTGTCAGTATTTTTGAGCATTTATTTCAGTGCATTCCTAAACATTTAAAAAACCTTTTTTTCTGTAGGCCTATATCCTCCTACTGCCTGAAGTCTGTTGATGTCTCAAGACCAGCACTAAAGAAGTGCTTGATGATCTTCAAAAAGGATGAAGCTGTGAGTGAAAACCTAAAATGAATATTAAAATTACATTATCAGACAGGATCTTTTGTGAAGTAAATGCCTTGTGTTTAATATAAAAGACAGTTACGGTACTTTTGTTTTATGCTGGATCACATGGCTATATTGAGTAATGGTGTGCATAATGGACACAGACAGTATGTATATAAAGAAACTCGAACTAAAATAACATCTTGCTATGCTGCTCTGTCTGACATAATGATCAGACATCTTTAAATACTTTGATTACTTTGATTCTGGTATGTTGTTTGGAAAAGCTCCGTCCTGCCAGTTGTATCCCTCTGCGGGAAATATAATGGAGTAATTTACAGACTATTATAGTAAACTGGGATATAAACTATCACAGTTATACAGTAAGTCTACTTCATCTACATATCACATTAAAAGGGGTACACAGAAGTTTAAATGTTTTTAAAAAGTCACTAAGAAGGCAGGCTGTTGTTTGTAACTTTAATTAACAGATTAGTAATATTGGTTTTATAGTACAACCCTTGACAAGTTAAAGATAAAAAATTCCACTTTTAAAACTTTTGAACTTTGAGCATATTCTGATTTTAATGAAAAAATGTATTTTTTCTAAAGTTTTCTCTTATCTCATCTTATCTTATCCTACATTTCTCAGTTTTCATTTTCAAATGACTATTCCATTAACCTGACCTGTAACGCTGTGAAGGTTACCAACATTACATTCAAGCCATGTCATCACAGTGAGTACAATAACTACTACACGATGCGACTACTTATTAAGCTATTCACTATGACCTTCAACAAACTACGTGTATGGGTTTGTGTGTGTGTGTGTGTGTGTGTGTGTGTGTGTGTGTGTGTGTGTGTGTGTGTGTGTGTGTGTGTGTGTGCTTGTGTGTGTGTGCGCATGTGTGCTTGTGTGTGTGTGTGTGTGTGTGTGTGTGTGTGTGTGTGTGTGTGTGTGTGTGTGTGTCATTGCAGTAAAGCTGGACCCTCCGCAAAAGCCAGAAATCAACGTTACCACTGTGTCCTGGATTGTAAAGAAAAGAGATAAAATCCTGTCATACAACTTACATTTTCAGTGGAAACATGAGGATCAGTCATGGAAGGTGTGTATGTATTTTTTGTCTAGTTAGTACTTTAAATGTTGACAAGGTTTTCAAATTTAAAATGCCTGCATGAACTTTTTTACCCCCTCTTTTCTCAGAAAAATGTTTACGTAGAGAAATAACAGATAAATAAAAAAATCCTCGAACATTTTTTTTTCAGGAGAATACACTTTGAAATATTTAGTATTATTATTAAATATTTAGGCTTTTTTTTCTTCCATTTACACTCTGTACAGTTTTGATATAATTTTACAGTTACGTTTTATAGTACAGTCATTAAAATAGGGAAAAAATCTATTAAGATCACATGTTGAAATTGATCACCAATTTTCGCATTCCCACTGACCCTAAGGGCTCACATTGTTGTAACAGTATGGTTACAGAAAATCCAATAAAGAGTATAAGTATGGTCATTAATTTGAGCCTGTAGAACATCAACATACATTTTCCTTTCTTAGGAGGCTTCTGAACAGAAAACACAAAATATTAAAAAGCTGTGTGGATGGAAGTGCTCAGCCGAGGTTTGGCTGATAGAAGACAAGAAGTACGAGGTGCGTGTTCGAGTGAAGGCACTTCCAGAAAGCTGCTTTTCAGTTTGGAGTGACTGGAGTCCTTCTGCAGTGGTGTCACCTATCAGAACACCAAATCCACCATCAGGTAAAGTCTGCAAATACAAAACCATCTATTTAAAGGAAAATGTGTTTTCATATCTGAAATGGGGATTTTGCTTTATTGTAATTTTTCATCAGATCAGTATGTTTTTGACATTTCAAATCTATCCCATCTCATACTGCAGAGCTGGCACAAACATGTCTTATCTTCATTTAATGTTTACATAATGAAATGATTCTCACATAAACGTCTTAGTTTGTTATTATCTTCCAGCACATAATAGTCCATAGAGATACAACACATATTTGAGGTTTATTCATTGTTTGGGGTTTATACATTGTTTATACATTGTGTGTACCTCTTTACTGATGTAATATGCTCTGTACTGTGTTTCTAGATGGTCCTGGGGTTATCATTAGCATTGTTGCATGTTTAGTAGTGGCTGCTTTGCTCCTGGCTGTCATACATTTGAAACGTAACAAAACCATCTGGTGAGTAGAATTTCTGTCACATGTGATGACAAATATTTAATTGGGGTCAAATATTTTCATTTCGATGACTTTGCTGAAACTTTATGTAATTTTTCTTATAGGATTTATATGATAACAAAAATCAAAGGTCAGCCCATACCAAACCCAGCAAAATCCTTCCTAAAAGATGTTAATTTCCAAGTAAGTCCATGAAATCTTGTATCTGTAACGTCTTTAAAGTGCAATGGTTTGCAGCAGAATTTTAATTGTTATACCTTTTGCAATATTTGCTGTCTGGAAAAATGTTTTTACAGCACTTAAACATCGCAAAACTCAAGTCCGCTGGACAACTCAAAACAGATTAGCTATTTTGTGTCAGGCACACAAATTGATAATACTTTCATATTTTTACATCAAGCTCATGTCCCAGACAGGGGGGCATCAGTACCTCTTCTGTTAGGTTCCTTTTAGGTCATCAATCCCATATGACTGCTTTAGATACAGTAATCAACTTTGTTATTTAGAGAGTTGTTTTGGGAACTTTTGAAAGACAGCATCAGAGCTGTCAGAGCAAAACCATACAGCAAGATGTATAGCTTATGTAGGCTGTGTAATTACAAACAAGAACATATGTTCATTATTCAAAAGTAATAAGTCAAAGTCAAATAAGTCAAAAGACTTACTATGTACCAGCTTAATTGTTTCCCATATAAAACAAATGGCTGATAATGTTTTAATGAGTTTTAAATTCTCTAGGCATCCTCAAATGTTGATATTTTCATGCATTCATATCTTTGTGTTATACTATAATATATTTTGCCTCCTATAATATATTTTGCCTCCGTTTTGTTTTCTTTTTTTTAAGCAAGAGAAGAAGAAAGCATAGACAAATATTGGGTAGACCTTCAGTTTTTGTAGTTTTACCACCTTCTAGTGTAGGCAGATTTAATTTTGTATGTTTTTTTTTTAACCTTTCCAATTAATTCTGTCTCTCCCTCCCATTTGACTCTCCAGCAGAATCATCTGAGCCCTCACTTCCCCAACTTCTTTAACCCGCTGAAAATTACCACTGAAGAGATCACCTCCTCTGTGGATGTCTTCGCACCCTGCAGGCCAGAGGTGGCACTTCTACAGAAAATGAGAAGCAAAAGCAGCAATGAGTCATCCAGTTCAAGTTTCTCCAACCCCAGTTATGCCCATTTGTGTCCTCCTCCCGCTCCTCCTGCCTCTTTGCTCACCACTGGGAATCTGGACCCCTGTGCTGCTGATACCCCTTATGGGCCAGTTTGTAGCAAAAATGCAGTCGAAGATACAGAACAGGAGAGGAGTGAAATTGGAAGGAAAAAGAGGGAGATCCTAGAATTGCTCTCAAAAGGTAGCAATGAAAGAGATCTTGCGCCGGTAATGTCTGACTACGAGAAGATTGAGAAACTCCAGGTTGAGCGCTCAAGGCTCCAGAGTCTAGATTCAGGTGTGTGCAGCAGTGAGGAGGTTAGTCAGGAAAGCCTTGAAGCAGATAGCATCAATATGACTGAAAACTATGACGGACAGGTCGAGAGGGAGACAGGGAAAGCAAAGGAACACGTTTTTCAGGAGCTGTTTGGAGGGGCTGGAGACATTTTTGGAAAAGGCTCCATTCAGGTTTGTTCTGGTTATGAGCCAGCTCAAAATCTGAAACTTGACAGCCCTGAGCTCCAAAGCCTGGATCTGGGTGTTAGGAGCGAGGGCGATGGGCAGTTTAGTCAGGAAGAGAGCTTAGAGAATGCTGACAAGCCCACTGAATCGACAAACCTCCTGTTTCCTCTTTCGTCTAGTACCTTATCATGCACATTCTCATCCATCACGCCTCTGCCATTGAACTTGGCTGGACAAGCTTTGAGTCCTGCCATGCAACCTTTGCAATGTAATATACTTCAGAGGCTTGCTTTAATGTCAGCCACCAGGTCTGCAGAGCCCTCTGGTGATGGATACATGCCAGTAAGACAGGAACAGAGCTAAAAAAGGATGAAGCTTTCTTATGAATGTTATTTAATTGTATGATACCTGAACTGGTGGCGCTGTAACAACAAAACAAGCCTATTTCAAAATTCTGATGTCTTTTGAAATGAAATAAATAACATCCTCCACATAATTTGGCTGAAATACATGCATTTAGTTCTCCTTGCTCCACCCTTTGGCTGTAATACACTTTGGCTGTAATGCTTTTTTCTTATACAGTATACTTTCTGAATAGCTACAGTTCAGTATGGAGTGCGTACTTTTCAGTATACTGAACTTTCGTGGTCATTCAGTATGCATTTTTTGGGTCCACCTCAGTATACTGAAAATTTCAGTATGGATACTAACTTCCGGGTTTTATGCAGTATGGATCTTTCCCCCTCTATTTAAATAATTATTTCCATATTTATTTATGCCTTTATTGGTTTATTTTATTTTATAATACTGTCTTTCATTCGTACTTTCCTGTATGTACTGTATGTTATTTTACTTTTACTGTTATTTTGTTTACCTTACAGTAGACGTGCATTACTCCTCTTGAATAAAGCTAAACAAAAAATACGGATGGATCCGGCTGGTTCGGGTAACGTAAATGATGTCACTTCCATACTGAATGAATCAGATGAAGTAGGAACAAATATCTGCATACTGTGCGCAACTACTGAACAGTAGGTACCAAAAGTATACAGCAGAGATAGTAGCTACTGTCTACTGACTACTGAAAGATTGTGTAGGCACTTGGCAATTCGGATGCACCGGGCCTCTCAACTACCAACTAACAGATGATCACCTATAGGTGGTGCTCAAGGACATTTTTGCTGCTGGTTGGAGGTGGAAAAAGCTGCAAAAGAGACTGTGGTAGCGATGGTTGCAACAGCCATGGTTGTGATCGTAGCTAATTATGCTCACGGCTTTGCCAGCTCTCACACTGCAAATTCTTCAGGAATTGCCTATTCTAGTTTGATGCTGAAATCGTTTCTGAATTAAGCAAAATGTGTTGCTGTGAATGTGTGCTCCTTGGTGTGGTGGTGGTGGTCTGTTGTTATGTATGGTATCTATGGTTTATTTATAAGCACTTCATTGCTAGCATCATATCATGTGGAATTGTTCTGTTCTGTTGAAATAAAATAAACATGATGGGAAATATTTCATCTTCTTTCATTTTTGATCAGAGTGAGGTGATTATCAGTCCATCACTTGGCAACATTTAGCAGGTGCCAGAAAGATATATATGTTAGATATAAAATTAAACTGTAGAATTTAATTTTGGAATGGCTGCAGCTATAAAATCACACTGTTTATTTTATTTGGTGCATCAAAGACCTTAGAAAAAAAGCACTGCAAAATGCCAGATTGATTTGCCCTTAATGTTTAACTGTTTATGCTCAAATGTTTCAGATAGCTTTTCCAGGTTCATACATTGCAATATGTACTGTACTGTTGCTATTCACATGATCTCAGATGGTCGAATTCATTCTCTTTTGTTGTCACTTGTTTCTTGCTGTTGTCTTTGCAACGTAAGCCTGTATGAAATGATGAAAGAAGAAAGAGAAGAGTTAAAAGTGTTGACATTTCTTATAAAATATTTTAAAATTATGAGCATTTTTTTAGGCTTTTATTGCAATTCTTTTTCTTTTTTTATTTGTAAGAATATGCATATATTTTTTAAACTTTGGAAGGGTAGACTAGTTTAGCAGCCTAATATTTTATTAGTGCTTTACACATAACAACAAACTTGCAGACAAAAACAGTTTTGGAGAGAAATAAATCTGAATAGAGGGATAGAGATAGTACATTTTGGATGTGAGTTTATCCCCAAGCAGGGAAAACAAGTCATTGTCACCTCAGGCGTTCTCTTTGTGCTGCTGACTCCCTTCATGGCCCACTGGGATTTCTTGTTTGCATGGAAAGTGAAGTGAGAACATAGATAGCCTCACCCTGTTTGATTCCCATCAGATTTGCCTGTGCAAGAGTGGTTGAATCACTGTTGCCAGGCAATGATTGGAGATATCAGTGTTCCTGTGTCTACCTGACTCGTGGCTGCCTTTAGAAGAAATTGTTGCTCTATGACATGTTTAGCTAGTTATGATAAAGCCATCAGTTATAAGTTAAATTATGTTTTGCTTTTACGCCTCCCTAAGAGAAAACTCAATCCGCGTCTGATCAATGTGCAAACACAAAACCAGCTTTGGGAATTATCGATTTTTTTTTTCTTTACCTTTGGACTAACAAACACAGAGGGAGCTGTTCTCTGACTGTCAGAGAAACTTGTCTGGTTATGTTTTCACCATGAATGAAAGCTGTTGAATTGGAAAATCCAGAAATCAAAAATCCACAATTGAGAGTGAAATGATTTCTCAAGCACCAATGGAAGTGGAGTGAGGAGATGGCGCTTGGACAAGGCTCTAAGAAATCTATTTCATGTGACCAGGGGGTCACTTCTGCTTCTCCGAATGGTTGGGTCAGTATTTCTAATATTAAATAGCATGATTAATGCATGTTTAGCCTGTGGATATTTTAGAGTAAAGTCGTTTTTTCATTCTGCAGTTCTGCACAATGTAGGTTTATTTTCAATTATAGGCACAGAGGCTGTTGTTTTGGATGTGATGTTGTTTGATCTTAAATCTGCACAAGATGAAATCACTATCAAAGCAAACACATGCAGATGCAGGCAAAAAATATTAATCAAAAATGAGAAAGCATAATGTATCTGTCTAAAAAGCTTATTTGAAGGGTTATGGTGGAGCTTAAAGAGCCAGGTTTTTAGTTCTTCTGCACTTACCACTTCCTATTATGTTTCGAAGTGGTTGAGCCTTATTTCCTTTAAATGATTCATCACACACTCTTCTCAAAAGAGCTGTGGAAGGGAAACTCCAACAACACGTCAAAGTCTATCTAAAGGTCTTTGGGAGCATTTCTGCATTTCAAAAAGTTGTAGCCTACAAGGCACTGAATAGTTCCAGAGGCCCTGCTGGGGCTGAAGATAAAAGTTTGAAAATGAGAAAATCTGGTCACGTGATATGGAGTAGGTTAATCAGACCGCTGTAGATCAATTGAGGTTACATTTAAGTTCCAGGTTTTGAAATTTGAATGAAATATAAAATAATCAGAATCAGAATCAGATTTATTGGCCAGGTATGCTTACACACACAAGGAATTTAACTTCGATGAACTGTGCTCTCTTATGTACAGATACAACATCAACAATAAACATAATAAGAAAAGACTAATATTTACATGACTAAATATGAAACGGTGCAGTGGTGAATAGTGCAAAAGATGCTGAAGTTACATGACAATAAGTAAAATGCAGTTATGTGACAGAAGGGTCAATTAAGATGTCAATTACAGTGTTTACATAAATAAGTGTGCGTATATTGATCATTTAAATGAAATTATATATATATATATATATATATATATATATATATATATATATATATATTTTCACAGTGACGTTTGGTTTAGAGTCATTTCACCGCGACAGGTCTGACTCTCTGTGACTGTTTAGCGTTCATCAGAGTGACAGCCTGGGGGAAGAAACTGTTCTTATGTCGGGTCGTTTTTGCGTACAGTGTTCTGTAACGGCTGCCAGAGGGGAGGAGATTGAAAAGTTTGTGTCCGGGGTGTGAGGAGTCTGCAGTGATACTACCTGCCCGTTTCCTGGCCCGGGACTGGTATAAGTCCTGGATGGGGGGCAGGTTGACACGGATGATTTTTTCTGCAGGCCTTATAGTCCGTTGCAGTCTGTGTCTGTCCAGTTTGGTTGCAGATCCAAACCAGACAGTGATGGAGGTCAGCAAGAAGATCATCGTGTCGGGGTGGTGTTAATGGGCTGGGTGATGGTTGTGAAAACCTGCAATAGAAGCTGTTCAGGTCTTCAGCCAGTCTATTGTTACCTGTAGGGTGGGGGGTGAGTTTCCTGTAGCTTGTGACTTCTCGCAGGCCTCTCCAAACCGCCGAAGGATCGTTAGCTGAGAATTTGTTCCTCAGCTTCTCAGTGTAGATCCTTTTAGCTACCCTGATCCCCCTCGTCAGCTTGTTCCTGGCCTGCTTGAACAGGTCCTGGTCCCCACTCTTGTAGGCCTCCTCCTTTGCCTGACGCAGCTTCCTAAGTTGTGGTGTAAACCAGGGCTTGTTGTTGTTGTATGTGCAGAAGTCCTGGTCTTCACACTCTTTGATTCTGCTGGCTTCATCTTTGAATATGCACAACCAAGTTGTAGGTCTTTTGTCTATTTTCAGTTTTTGCTTTCAAAATTTACTTTGCAGGAAACAAATTTGCTTAAAATGAATTTGAAGATTCCCAACATAATGTCGTTGTGCCAAAGATGAGTTTGTGCTAAACTGTTTGTGCATCAGTAAGTAAAACATTTGAACACATTAGTCATTGAAACATTCATTCACAGAAAAAAAAGAAAAAAAATTTCAAGAGGATATTCTGATATTAACCTCAGAGGTTGCTTGGAAGACGTAAAGGAGTTTGGAAAACGAACCCTGTTTAGTATTACAGTGTAAATACATCATCATGATCAATGTAGGTAATTGGTTTTTTAAAATCTCACCGTGCATGTGTTTGCAAGTATGACACTTTCCTCCTTCATCAAAGCAGCAACTTCTCAACTCTGAAACCAATCAGAAAATATATAACTAATGCGAACTGAAACATATGCATCACTTACTGAGTAGGCTAAGTGAGTAATTTGAAAGTGATTGATTCTTTAAAAGAAATATGAAGTATAATATGCTGTTCAGATCATTGTTTTCGGATATATTTCAGCAGGGCAGCCACATAACAACCTTGTGGCTAAAGTTAATCCACTGGGACTGTAACGTGCCTCTTGTGTCCTCACTTCAATGTGCTTTGCAAGGAATTCAGACTGGATTTTATCTTTAACCCCTAAGAGTCAAAGAAATGCCTCTTCTATAAAGGTTGGAGAAGGGGGACTATCTGTGACTCAACAAACCCGGAGGATTCGGTGCTGCAAGTGTCTCCTGGCCTTCCTCCTCATCATCCTCATAGCAGCAGGAGCCATACTAACCTGGTACTTCCTAGGTAGAGAGATTTCTAATTTTTGTATTGGTACATTTTCTAGTCAAAAGCGCTTTTCAGGAACTAAAAGACACTATCCATTCATTAAAAAAAGAAAGAACATAGGACAACAACTCATTTATACAGCTATTCATGTTCCCCTTAAGATGAATCCTACAGCATTTGGTGCTCCCCTGACTTTCCTCTAGTCAGCAAATAGACATTCTAAACTTGTATTGAAATATCAAGAAATCCTTAAGTTGTGTTTCTATTCAATCTGGTTAAGATAATGAATTCATGGTCCCCAGAGAATAAGTCATAGAAGCCCTTTTTACATTGCTATTCTGCCGCAAGTAACAAAACTCTGCAATCAATTGGCCTTTGTAATTTTACATTGAACAATGCAACAGCATAATGTCGGTTTCCCAGTCTGTTATTTAAATTGCGTAACGAAGGTTGCCAACATGCGAGAGGCACAATGTGTAAACACCACTAGATTCACATTATCACACACACAGCGCTGTGCTGACATTTAAAGTAACTCCATTTCGCCCTCTGTTTTCTAACTCTGCTGCCGGCTGGTAGGTTTCACATCACTTTGTGGTACATGATCTGCTACTAAATAGAATCCAGGCTTTTCTGTGGGAGAAAAAATAGTTCTAGCACTAGGAGAATGTAAGCATGTCAGCATTCAGCTAAAAACACTGCTCTGCTTATTCCCATTACAGCTAACATGGCTTTAGCCTTCTTAACACTTGGTCATTTATTCTGTGTCTGTAATCACTCTTTTCTCTGTAACAGAATACAGGGTTTGGGTGTTAGAGCCTCGGGTCCAGCAGCAGTACACAGCACACCTGTCCATCCTCAACAGAAACTTCTCTGCTGATCTGTCATTACACAATAGCCCTGCGTTCAGGAAAGAGGCCAGGGCAGTACAGAAAGTGGTGAGTGCAGGCTAAGACTTCATCGGATATTGATGTGGTGTAGAATAACTTTTTTTCATATCTCTTTGGATCTAGACTTCTGATGTTTTTTTATTTTTCTATGTATGGTCTAAAATGCAATTAGACCAACTGACCAAGAAAAAAGACCAGTAGCATTGTGTTCTTTTGGGAAGATATGACATAAAAAG